GGGGGAGCGTAGAATTAATAATATTAAAAAAAATTAATTTTTCTATTGCAAATATCATTTCTTTTCTCTAAGTAATAGATAGTGCAAGCAGATGCTCGGTTCATTATATAAATTTGGGTTTCATTATTTATTGATTATGATTCTAAGGTTCTGCCACTTCACCAAACAAGGAGAATTCTCCTTCGCGTGCAAATTCTAAGCTCCAAGCCTCTTCATCTCAAGAAAAAATTGCCGAAAATTCCGAATCCACCTCAAGTTAGTATTCTTCATTTCTTGCCATTTTTTCCCAATTTGCTATTTAAATCGATTCTCCTATTTCTCACATTGTGAAAAACTACACCCAAAGTCCATTCGTTTGAGTAATGTGGAAAGCCAAATTGTGAACTGTTTTGTGATCCTTGAGCTACAAACCTAGCAATCATTATTTATTTATTTCAAATGGCAGGCGTTTTGATAGATATCATTAGCCATTTAGCTGACTTCGGGCTTCACAGAGGGAAGGTTCATCAAAGTAGCAGAAAGTCGAGGGGTGGGGAGCAGAAGAGCGATTCACAGATGTAAAAGAGGCAGACAGACACAAAGGTGAAGAAAAAGGTAAGGTGAGCACTGTGGAAGGGGTCGAATATGACAACCCAGGGGGGTCGTGATAGTTTGAAGTCAGAAGNATGAATATACGCCATGCAGACAACATAAGTATACAAAATGCCTTAATCCTAATGACATGAAGATTACTACCATACACCAATGGGACTCAATTTTAATTTTGTCTAAGTGTAACACTTTCAACCAAAATGTCACGTTGAATAATCAAATTTTTCGCACCCACACAGAGCAAGAGAGGGATTTTGAGCAGAAACGGAGGTTCATTTTACTTATTTATATCAAATGGCAGGCGTTTTGATAGATATCATTAGCCATTTAGCTGACTTCGGGCTTCACAGAGGGAAGGTTCATCAAAGTAGCAGAAAGTCGAGGGGTGGGGAGCAGAAGAGCGATTCACAGATGTAAAAGAGGCAGACAGACACAAAGGTGAAGAAAAAGGTAAGGTGAGCACTGTGGAAGGGGTCGAATATGACAACCCAGGGGGGTCGTGATAGTTTGAAGTCAGAAGTCAAGTGCCGGTTAATAGACTGTTTTGTCGTATGAGTATACGTTGCCCAGAGTGCATCACGGGGAGGTAAGTCTATCGCACACCCCACCTAGCAATCAAGATCGTCAATTGCCCAATTTATAGATTATTTAAGTCTCACAATACGGAGTGTTACTCTAGCTTCTCTTCGAAGCTTACTAAACCTGTGTAAGCAGCGCAAATTGTCAGCTAATTTTCGTTGATATGATAATGATCTCTTTGTACCATTACGGTCTCCGACATTCACTTGTTTGAAACGTATTGCGTTTACACTCGATTTTAAAATAACTGGATTATTGCCACTTTCTTACCTATATTTCTATTATTTTTTTATCAGAATCGAATGAAGACATGGCCTTTGAAAGCGCCAAAGTTGAAGTTACTCCTGCATTTACTCAATCCCCTCCTGGCGAAATTTCTGGATTAGCAACGATAGAAGACGAATCATATAACTCAACCTCTCTAAGTGAGTTTCTCCAAATGGAATCAGCTTAGGTCTGCGTCTAATTGATGTGGTCGTCTTAACTATAATGTAGTAATGCGGTTTATGTGGCCTGAATCTCTAATATAGCTACTTGCGTTAATATCATTAACTATTTTTGCTTTTATTACCCCTTAGTCAAGAGTCCTGCTAGGGATAGTTCAAATCCTCAGCTCCCTGGATCTTCTGATTCATCGGCGCAACCAATATCGTCGGAGGGAAATAAATCCAACGAAAAGCAAAATGTTGTCCTATCGGGTTCGCCAGGTTAGTTGTTTTTTTTAACTACTCCTTTCATTGTTTCTATTGAATTCAATTGTTTAATAGAATGGACTTACTTCTTGTGTTGCGATTTTATTATTGGAATATTCCCACAAGCAAAAGAAAAACCCTTTTGTCAGAAAACACAAGCAAAAGAAAAACCCTTTTGTCAGAAAATCTTCAAGAGATTTCTAGAAAACCCTTTTGTCAGAAAATCTTCAAGAGATTTAAAGGCTTCTTGTAAGACAGTTTTGTGAAATTAAGGAAGACGCAACACCAACACAGTTTCGTGAAATTAAGGAAGACACGACAACACCAAATAATGCACTTACTGAACCATTTAGACCTTGCGAACTTAATGCTGCGATGTAATTACTGAACCATTCCGACCTTGCGAACTTAATGCTGCGATAAACAGCTAAAAACTTAATGATGCGATAAAACAGCTAAAGTGCAAGAAGTCTCCTGGCGGAGACGGTATTCATCCAGAGTTTCTAATTAGAATGGAACCAGCTGAATAAAACAGCTAAAGTGAAACTTAATGATGCGATAAAACAGCTAAAGTGCAAGAAGTCTCCTGGCGGAGACGGTATTCATCCAGAGTTTCTAATTAGAATGGAACCAGCTGATGTAATTACTGAACCATTCCGACCTTGCGAACTTAATGCTGCGATAAACAACTCAAGTGCAAAGAGTCTCCTGGCCCGGAATTTCTAATTAGAATGGGACCAAAAGCCAAGGAAATATTCATCCGGAATTTCTAATTAGAATGGGACCCAAAGCCAAGGAAACCATGCTGACGCTTTATCAACAAAATCTGGGAGACCAGTCTCGTACCCGATGGAAAATTGCCATAGTAATACCAGTACCAAAAAAGGGCGTTCCCATAGTAATACCAGTACTGAAAAAGGGCAAAGACCCTAGCAACTTTGACAACTATAGGAAAATGGCAAGGACCCTAGCAACTTTGACAACTATAGGCCTATCTCCCTCACAAGCGTGCTGGCTAAACTTATGGAAAGAATGGTTAACAGAAATTTCAAGATTCCCTTACTGAAGAGTTTGTATTTCTCCACAGTTCATGCGATGGATTGCACAAGCCTTTCCTTTAACTGTCTGGAGTTAGACTTTATTTAGGAGCTCTATCATATTATTTTAATGGAAGGGCACATCTGCCTATATTTTAGGGAAACAATATTACACCAAGGAGACGAGCATTTTTCAGGTACACGAGATTGGAGAAATACTGTCGCATGATAGTTGTACCCTTGGAATGATTTCACTTCCCATCAATTTTTGGCCAAGTTTGTACACTGGTTAAACGCTCGAACTGAATGTCGGGTTGTTGAAGAACGAGCATCTACTTTCATAAATTTTTTTTGATAATTTATTTCGTTAGCTTACTTTGTCTAAAAGGAAGCCTACATTTGGGACTTCATTTTTTTTAAAAGATGGAATGTTTTCATTCACCATATCTTTATAGTGTACTGGTAGGTTAGTTCACTTTTCAAATCGACTATTACATTGTCCTCATCATGTGGCTTCTTACTCAGTTAAGAGCAATTAAAGAGACGCTTTCTTTTTAAAATTCTATATAGCTGAGAGGGATGAATTATTAGAACTTTCTAAATCATCTTCATCGCAGCCATCTCCTTCAGAGGGTGACAATTCAAAGGGAATACCACTTGTGGCTTCATCAGGTTAGTAGGAAAAAAACCGAATTTTGTGAACTGACATTGTCACGGTTCTTTTTCATTACCTGTGCCCTTCATATTTGTTACAGATAAGGACAAGAAGAAAGTGGCTTCACAGGCTGTAGCCCTTGAAACTTCGGATTCTTCTTTGCCATCTTCACTTTCCAAAGACAACAGCTCCAAGAGAATACGTTTGGCTGAGCACAAATCTCCAGGTTAGTTCCTCAGGATGCACAATCAGAATAATAATAGGCTTTAACTTAAGTAGAGATGGTATAATTAATAAGACTTCTAAAATCTGGAGGGTGGAGTGTGGGGGGGGGGTTCCCTGATGTCATTTTCGTTCCGAAATGAATATTTGAAAACACTTTCCTAGTTTGGCGAACGAGTAAAGACTCTATCAAGTAGTGAAACGTGAAGTGCAGGAGAATAATAGCGTAAAATCGGCGCTTCACCTGAATTCCTTATTACTTTCACTTAAGGGGTGGGGGTATGGTTAATTGTGCCATATCATGGGTTTAGTCTTTTTTCATACCTTTTAGCTAAAAACGCGACACTGGGAAGTCGGAAGAGTAAATTATTGGCCTCGTCTGGACCGACGAAGCCTTCAGAGATAAATAAATCTGAGAAATCCATGCCTGAACTTTCGGGTTAGTTTCCTATCTTCATTCTTATTTTTGTCTCAGTTGTCTCAATTAACTCCCTTGGTTTTCTCCTTCTTTCAGCCAAGAGAGTACCCGAAATCCCAAGGCGGATTCTTACGCCAAAAGTTCAATCTCATAAAGTAATACCTAATCTGCCTTCACGAACTGATTTCGCTTCAGCAGATCGTATTCAAACTCGCCCAATGGGGATAAGGCGGAGGAAGCCGGCTGCTTTACCCATGTCTTTAGAGGACATAGTTACTCGGAAGTTCTCGAAATCGGTTTTCAGGTGGTTTGATGCATTAACCACTCATCAAAGTGAACGTGTATCCAAAGACCCTAGGGATATTCCTTCCCTTCAAATTCCGGAATCTTCTACCTCTCTGATTAAACCCAATTCCCAAGAGGGAATTTCCACTGTTAAATCAATTTCTCTTGTTGAAGAATCAAAATCTACCGAGGAAGTCGATAACCAGCCCACCATTTCTCCCCCCATTTGTTCTTCCTCTCTTCCTCAGCTGTTTGTTCCCAAAACACCTGAGAAGCCCGCTCCTCACGCCCGGTTTAGTTCTGCCAGTCCAAATTATTTGCCTGTTCCCCAATCGACTGGATTTAATGTTCCAGAGAAACCTGCCTCCAATATTCAAAATTTTACTTCAAGTCCTAAGCTTCTGGAACAATCGGATAACCGGCATAATGCTTCACCAGCAGCTTCCAAATCAACTGGACCAAAACCTTCAGAGAAACATATCCCCAATATTCAAAATAGTCCTTCCAGTCCTAAGCTTCTGGAACAATCGGATAACCGGCATAATGCTTCACCACCAGCTTCCAAATCAACCGGACCAAAACCTTCAGAGAAACCTGAGCCCTTCCTAAGTTCCGATGTTGAACTTTTAAGGTCTTGCCTTCCTTTAGGGAGTTGTGTGGCTGTTGAATCAGGTATAGTTACCTCTTCCCAAACTCAGTCTCTCTTTGACAGCCTTCTGGATTATTTTGTTGGTAAACAGCCAACCCCTCCAACTGCCTCATCTTCAAATTTAAATATGGATATCATCTGTGATGCTCTGACTGAATCACTTGAAATTGTATTGAAATCAAACCCTGATCTTCCCCTATTTCCGCCTCCCGTTTGTGCTGTTAGAGCAGCTACCCTTTTAAAATCTATTAATAAGGGTTCAGATATCTCGGCTTTCAATTCTTGGTTCCGAGTTCGAACTCATGCATCAAAGAAAAAGGCCCGATGTCCACCGAAATCTCCCACGCTTCTCTTTCGTTTGGCTCAGACGTCATTTCTCACATGCGATCTCTCCAAACGTGAAGATCTACTTTACCAATTGTCCAATTTTCTTGCATTTAATGGCTATGATTCGGCTCCTCTCACTTGTCTTCTCCTGGCATTTCAATCCAATCCCTCATCTCCACCGTCAAGTTTGGATTCTGCCTATCAATTTCTAGCTTGGAAGGAAAGGGATCAGTGTCCTGATTCGAATGAATTCGTAACAGCTCTCTGTCAAGTCTCCTTTTATTCTGACTCACCATCAATAACCTTACTGAGAGAATTCGTTTCATCTCTTGTCAATGACTTCTGCTACGGTAAGAAAGATCAGGAGGATACTCCCGAAAATCGTGAAGATATTGCTAGGGCTCTTAGACTCGTGTTCACTTTTCATGCTTTCACTGAGTTGGATGTCAAAAAATCGGCTGCAAATCGATTTGGTTTAGCTGGATGGCTCCTTAAAGTTCGCCTACTCAATTGGATCAATAGTTTGGAAAAGGGAGTGGAAATGTGCGCATCCACATCGAAATTGCTACTTCGAATTTGTTCATTAACCGTGGATATCATTCTTCTCACTACTCAGTTGGATATGCAGATGAATTCTCACAAAACCACAGCCAAAGTATTATCTCCATGTCAACGTGGTCTCACTTATTGCAGTGACAAACTTTTCGAAGTTCTTATCTCAATTCCGAACACTTTTCGTGAACATATTCCTTGTGTAAGCTCGATTTACATTAAATTAATAAATTCCATTCTAGATTGTAGTTTGCCTTCTACGATTGGCTCCTTGTTTGAGCGAGGAACAAATCTCCAAACTCCGGATTTATTTGATTGATCTATCAAAAGAGGACTTGTCCACTCACGAGCCATTGATGCTTCCCTCCATATTACCCCCACTACAAAATGCCTTTGTAAATCATATCCTCGATCGATTAAAGCTCTCCTCAAATCATCCCCTTGTACAGGTCTTAAAGAAAATCCTTAACTTAACTTTATAAACTGTTCTTTTCTATTTCAGAAATTGTAAATAAACTTTCCTATGTTTGACTTAAGCTCTAGTCTTTTACCCTTATTATTATTTTTTCGGGTTCCATTTTGTGATTTTGTGCGTTTAAAACAGAAAGATGGCAGTTCCAGCCCCAATGGTGGCCGAAAGGATGAACAATCCTAAAAATCCTGTGGTATTCTTTGATATATCTATTGGGGGACAAGATATAGGTCGAATTCAATTGGAGCTTTTTGCAGATGTCACTCCAAAAACTGCAGAGAATTTCAGGTAATTATTCACATCTACTTAATTTGTAATCAGTAGGGTTGGTTTTTACTTTGTTATTTCTATATCAGGCAACTGTGTACAGGCGAATACCGGAAGGATGGTGTACCAACAGGTTATAAAGGCTGCACTTTCCACAGGATAATAAAAGACTTCATGGTTCAGGGAGGGGATTTTGTTAATGGTGATGGTACTGGTTCCTGCAGTATCTATGGTGGGGCAAAATTCGCAGATGAAAATTTCCTCAAAAAACACTCATCTCCTGGTATGCTCTCAATGGCAAACAGTGGAAAGGATACCAACGGCTGTCAGTTCTTTATAACCTGTGCTCCTTGCGACTTTCTGGATGATAAACATGTTGTATTTGGTTAGTGGACTTACTGTTTATTTATGATAATTAGGTGAGTTAATGTAGTGCTCACTTGGTGTCTCCTTTTAGGACAAGTAGTCGATGGTATGTTGGTGTTAAAGAAGATTGAAAATGTTCCCACAGGTCCTCATAATCGTCCTAAAGTTCCTGTTGTTATTACCCAGTGTGGGGAAATGTAAAATAAGGTTTTTTAATGTTAATAAATGAGTTTCTAATACTGAGTCTGTTTTATTGAACTCCTTCTTCCCTTGTTGTTTAATTAATTATGGATTTCCGTTAAAGTGTAATGAATACTGCGAAATCTATTGGGCCTTTTCAACCATCTAATCCAGTTTTGAGTAGTACTCAACTGGGAGATTCTTCAACAGTTAGTTCACAAAGGCGGAGAAGACTCAAACGAATTGATTCAGATGATGAAGGAGAAGGCAATTTTGCGGATATCAGCGAGATTCGAGCTGCTCCATTTCCTGGGTTGACTTTCGCCCAGAGTTCACCGATCGCCCGTCGTTATGACGAAAGCGAGGACGAGGAAGATATGCGGAGATATTCAAATAGTGACGTAGAAATGGCTTCTGTACATTCTGCTGAGAGGAGTCGGGATGATGGTGAAGAGGACGAAAATGGTGGTGGCGTAGATATGGACGTCAAGACGCTGAAACAACTCAAAGGGATTTCCGAGGGAGCTAGGAAGAAAACTGTTCGACGACCAATGCCCAAACTAGATCCCCTTACGTAGGTTATCATGAGTTTATTTGAATCATATTCAATACTCCTATGCTTAACTCTCCAGTTGCACCTACTATCTTTATCGAGTGGCGTTTTAATAGCTTCTGGTCATTTTTGCTTTAGCTGCTTGTGATGTAACGATACTGGCCACTTATTTAATCTGGGGAATTGTAGGCACGTTAGCTAAGGCTGGTTAGGAAAGTGGGAGAAAGCGTAATTTTCTTCAACAATTTACTTTGAATGTTAACTTATCTCACTGTCTACTTGCAATTAAAGTGCAATTATTGATCGTTTGGATTGCCAACTTTTGTAAAGTATTTGATTAGTAGTTGAGTATATGTAGCAGTTATAAAGTGCATTTTATCCCGTCTGAGTATTCTAACTATTAGTTAAGACATTTTATTATTGTGCTCTTAATATATGCGGTCTGCCTAAATCGCCATGTAAATCCCCTTTCATTTCATCTTGAAATAGAATCAAAATTTAAACGTCACGGCCTATCATTGGCTTCGTGAAGCAGAACCCCTAATAAGCGGATTCGAAAGAAGTCACTATAGGTGCTCTCGGTTACGCTAGGCTTCAATTTCATAAGCAATTTACGCTATTCACCTATTAGAAACAGTGTTTATGGTAATTCACATTTGCTACTGATTGCCAATATATACATTTAATAAATTTCGCATCTTTTTATTACTCTAGTTTACTTGGAGAACGCGGTCTCCCTGCTCTCCTCAAAGAAGTCGAGAAGACCAAATTCAGTGGTCGTGGTCATGAAGTAAGCACATCATTTTATCCTCATTTTTTAAATTCTAGTTCGACGATCTCCAAAAACTCATGTTCATCTATGAATCTTGGGCAAATCGAATGCTACCTAAGTTTCCTTTCACGGAAATAATGGAACGCCTGGAAGTAGTGGGGACCAAACGTGAAGTTCACAATGCTCTTCAAGGAATGAGAGCTGGAACTTGGCCTCCTACAGTATCTGCAGAATTCGTTCGTGATGACAGTGATGATAGTGATTCTGAGAATGAGAGACCGAAAGAGAAGAGTACGTTAGATGGTCCATTGAATGATGATGAGATCGAAGAATTGCTGCGAATGCAAGATGTTGCTCAAGGATCTGGAACTCAGAAACAACCGTCTCCACAACCGATTGCCTCAACTTCAACAGCTAATATAGATGATGCATGGAAGGAGGAGAGTGCAATTGAAAGGGCCGAGAGAAATCGTATGGCTGCTTTGGCACGCCTGGAAGCCAAACGACAGTCTCAAAGTACTACACCAGTTAGAAGGGCTCCTACTTCCTTGCGAAATGCTCTTAAATCTCTGATCTCATCCAAAACCAGTACCCAATGACATGATGAATGTGTCTGCATTGTTTTATACGATATTTTTATATGTTGTTATTTGAACATATGCTTTTTATGCTTTATAAACTGGTAGGGTCGAATTTAAGCTGATCCGCGTCTGTTCGTATTTACGAATTTCAATACCATTAATTTGTTAGGACAAAAATGCAACACGCTTTCTAGTTACCCGGCTAAAAGAACTAGCGTAATGTTAAAAGCTCTGAAGCTGTTTTTTACGCAAATTGCAGATCACTTAGGTAAATATACTTTTGGAAATTGTTTTTGCTTCAAGGAATACTTTTCTCTTAATTGGTAACAATCACGACAGGGTTGTGCATAACATTTTGTCGTAACTTATGTCAATAGATAACAATCAAAATATGTGTAACACGTTAACAACTATAAACTAAATTAAATAGAGTTCAAGAGTCGAGTATGATCAGAAGAAATGGGAAAATGGAAATTAAAACGCATCCGGAAACAAGATTAAGATAACATCGATTTATATGTAGCCACAAAATAGTACATCTAATTCGAATTTAAAAAATTACTCGAGAAATACTAGTTTTGTATAACAATGAGTGTATAATTAATTACGAAACTCATCTTGTTTGTTTTAATGAGTCAACTTAAATGATATACCGCCCTTTGATTGGCACATAATTTACGTATCCGCTTTGAATGCCCATATGATATCTGATATGGTACGTTAGTTGGCCTTTCGCTGAATAGTTTAGCGCGTCATTCAAAAAAATTTTATGTCTGTACAGGACGCAAATAATTATGGGAAATACACCACTGCATAGTAAAAGGCGACTATCTGGTGACCTCGAACCAAATTCACTTGAAGATACTCCTCCTCAAATATTCATGGATATTCCTAACAAACGTCCTAATCTCTCTGTCCAAAATGTTAGTCATTTTGCAGATAATTTTGTGTTATTTTGTAATACGTATTTATAATTTTGATAGGATTTTCCTCGTTCTGCTCCGATTGGAACGGGTTTTAATCCAAATGATGTAGATAATATGGCATGGATGCTTCATGGAGCGAGTCTCCAAGAGTCAGGTTTTCCCCCACGCTCTCAGCCTATCCCCTCCTCTTCTACCGCTCGTCCAACCTCCCTTCCCGGTCCTTCCCAATGTGCCTATTTGGATGTGTCAAGTGGCTCGCGAATGCTTAGCTCAAGTGTCGGATACCCTGGAATGCAACTACCTACCGATATCGAAATGACGCCAACTGATAATCAGCCAAAACTTCTCCCAACTGTCTTTCGTTGGAATGGTGGTGGTCATGAAATTTATGTCAGCGGGACCTTTGATAACTGGCAAAGGAAGATTCCAATGGCTAGACGGTGATTGATTGTTTGTTTTTTTATCAAGACGTTATTTATTTACTTACGCTCATACTTTGAGCCCCTCTTTACAATTATTCATATTTTAACAGAATTATGCGACTTGTCAGTTTTGAATTTCTCCGTATAAATTTGATTGATTAGTTTGTTTTATGTCAGGAGAATATATTTTCTTATGAGATGAACGTATGGATTTGATTTGCTCTTTTGAAAGCTCTGGTAATTTAGCTAATTCATTCGATTGTTTAGCAAGGCAATCCTTATAATTTGTTGATTAGTGAGCTGTATTATTCTTATTTTTGATTGCCTTTTGTGAATGGCGAATCCTTTACATTTTTCTTATATTTTACACAATATATATATTGAGTTAAATGAGTTCTGCTTAACCTAGTTGATCGTAATTCAAGCCTAACATCTATCAATCAATCGGCTTTTGCTAATGTATTTTGAATACTCCTTTTATTTGTCTGCTTAGAAACTATCAAATTGGTATAGTATTGAATTTTATTAACTGAAATGGTAGGCTTAATCTCCATTTAGTTGTCACCTATTTTTCCTCTACCAACCTGTTATAACAATTGCTTTATTAAACTGCCTAATTATTGACGTTAAATGCCTATTTTTGACAAGAGAAAACTAGGAGTGCATTGGTGATGTTGAACAAGACAGTGTATAGTCTCATTTGACTTCCTATTAAAAATGACGTAACAGATATCACTGTCGCGTGAAGTTTGATTTTCCGACATGTATGTCTAATTTGATGCACTGACGTTTTGCTTTTTTCATCTTCCTCGTTGTGGCGTATTTGATCACAATTACACTAAACACTCCGAGCGCATGTGTTCGCTAAATAGTCGAAAGTCCACACTTATGAATGTCTTGTTAATGCCTTGTGCGATGATGACGTCTCTCTAATTTGCTTACAAAACTACAATTTTGTTCTCTTTACTGCGTGTGGCTGGTGCATTTTATTAGCAATAAAAGTCACAGAACTCGGTACTTGTATGTGCGGAGCCATTGAAGAGCTGAAACGCTGGTACTTGTCAAGTGAAGACCATCCGATTTTTTGGATTTCCTTCACCGAGGGTTGGCCACTCTTCTTCAAATGGCTTGGGAGATTCACCTGTTATAAAGCACTAACTAAAATGCCAATTGGGTGGGGTGGGGTGGGGTGGAAGTCTTTTTATTTTGACTTGTATATGCATGCGGTTAAGAGGGTATTTGTCTTTAAATATAGGTCCTCAATTCAAAGTTTAAATATTTTGTCATTTTTTTATATATTTCTTTTTGCTTTCCATTCGGGTTAGTAATCAATGCTCTTCTAATCTCTTTTTGACTAACTTTAATCTGAGTATTCTTTTCGTAAGGAAATTTTGTTTTTTTTTCCAATAAGAACTCACCCGTAGTTTCTTTAATGTAAATTCTACAGCCTTATTTTGTTCAATAAATTTGTGTCACTTTCACAATGACCCTTCATCACCTTTGAGCTTGAAATACTGGTTGCCAAAATTGGCAGAGTCCCTATAACTTTGTCTTTGATTTTTAAAAGCTTGGGCGTATTTATGACGTAATTTCATATAACTAAAAGCTATATTTTCTTTTCAGAAAATCTGGCCATGTTGTGATTGTCGATTGTCCACCCGGTCGCCATGAGTACAAGTTCTTCATCGATGGCGCTTGGTATCATGACCCTACCAAGGTTGGTTGTCTACCGCTTTCTTTTCTCGACCTAATTAGTCTGTTGGGGAAGGCGGGGGGGGGGGGGGGGGGGGGGGGGGAGGGAGCGGGCTTTATGTTGAATATGGCTTCTATTTTTCAAGCGCTTTATTTCTTTTTCAATGTTGACAATCTTGTGTCTCGTTCCATATGCTTGCAGAGTAGCTAATTGGCTTGTTTACTGATAGTCTCGGCACTTGCTTATTGCCAGCTGGGTCAGATGTGTGTGTGTGTGTGCGCGCTTTATTTACCTTTGAAAGGCATGCGTCTTGCTTACTCTCGGGTCTCAGCTTTCATTGTTTGGTAGTTTATGTTTGTTTGTGAAAAGGGCCCAGTGAAAATCCTAGAAATCCTCCATTCTGTGGTTCTCAATTTCATCCCCATCAGGTTCATAGACTCCATGGTCTCGCCACTGGATTCCTGGTCACTTTGCTTTTTTGTCTAGGCATATCAGACTAAGGCGTAGCAGATGATAAAATTTACATTTTCGCACCTCTTTGTTTGCCCGTCAAAGCGCCAGCTATTTGTTTTATTATTTCAATTAATTAATGCTAGTCGGTTTGAATCCTACCACCCATTTATTGGAGGATACTTGAGATCCTCTCACAAACTAACATTTTTATTAGTATTATCCACGGAACGAAAAAAATGCATATCTTTTAATTGTGATAACCACCTGACACCAAATAACAATGGGCTAAACACATGATAAAGATGAGGGTGTTCGAAAAATGCAGTGATCAGCGTCATGGTATCAAAGAATCTCACTTAATTTCACTTTTTTTGCTTATTGGTTAACACCCGTGTTTAAGTTGCGAGTTGGTCATGGTGATCCAAGGCATTGAATATTGTATTTACCGGAATAGGAAGTCGGTGGAATTTGATGAATTTAGGGGATATTTATGGTCCCCACACCCGTGATATGTGTGTCGCTTTGCACCTTCAACTCTCGTTATCATTTCAGGAAGCTAAGCATTTTCAGTGCTTAATTTTTAAAACTACTGTATTATGGTTGTTTTCGTGAATGGTAATAAGTTTATTTATTGCCAATTGTATAGAGCGTATGAATTTGACAAGATGCCTTTGTGAAAGAGCTTAATGTGACTTTATCATTGCCGTCTTTGTATTTTATCATTCTCTTCTCTACTTTGAGTTAATTCTAAGGATTATGCGCGGGGAAATCTTTTTCTTCCCCTGGGATGCGAAGCCTTTTAGTGAGAAGATTGGTTGTGTGATCAATTTCTACTTTATACTCTTGCCAAATCCGGAACGGCGAGTTTCAAGCCAATGCAGCTCACAAATTTTCGTGAATGTATTTTTAACTCCACTCGCATATATTAAACGACTCAGTCCACGTTAGTGGTTTAATAATGCGTATGGAAATGGGTCTTGTCAGTTTCCAATCTCGTAAGATTTTTTTGATGTAAGATGGTTTCAACAGTGTTGGCATTATACACTCGATTGGTTTATTGTAACTAAATCAATTTACTGCAAGTTTTGACAACTTTTTTATTATTATGTCAGAATGGAGGGTGTGCGATAGACTTACCTCCACGTGGTGCACCCCCTGGGCAACGTATACTCATACGGCAAAAAGTCTATTAACTGGCAGTTGTCTTCTGGCTTCAAACTACCATCACCCCACTGTATGTCACATTCGGCCACTTGCACAGTATTCATTTTACCTTTTTCTCTACCTTTGTGTCTGTCTCTTCTACATCTTTGAAGCATTCTTCTGTTCCTTCCCCCCCCCCCACTCTCGACTTTTTTTTCACTTTGATGTTCCTCTCCTCTATGAAGCCTGAAGTCAACTAAAGGGCTAATGATAACTATCAAAACGCCCGCCATTTGATATAAATAAATGTCAGAATGGTTTAATACTCTCACTCCAGACTTTCTGAACTTCACGGTGCTCTGCTTAGTAATCAAGAAGTGAGAGCCAACAGTCAAACAAAAATGTCATAAGTCTACTTCTTTATGAGATCACTGGAGAAATTGTTATTTTCCCAGTGTATCTTTTGATTATTGTGACCTTAAATAAGTACTATAGTCAGAGCACAGATGTTCTTTAACTGACTATCTCTTTTAAAGGATAAGGTGTTAATCGAAACGAAGTTTACTTCTGTCAAAATGAAAAAGAAATAAGTAGCAATGTTGAATATTCATCGAAGTCTTTCTGGGGGGTAGGGGGCTTCTTTATGGAACTGCGGATCTAGTTATAAATCGATTATCTGAATTAATGAGGACTTGATTGGCGCCTTCTCCTCGGAGGAGATGAGTTTTTAGTGCCCTGCTAACGATTTTGTTTTATTTAACTAAATCTTCCTATTTCGCTTTAGCCAATGGTGGATAATGAGTACGGAACGAGGAACAATGTGGTGGAAGTGAAGGAATCAGATTTCAACTTCCTTAATGCCCTTGAACAGGATATTGCTAATAGCAAGCACAAGTCTGATTCAACTGGTGGCAGTTCTGATGTAAGTGTCTCTCTTCTTTTTTTCACATCTTTCTCGAACTTTTAGTCTCTCGACCTCATAACCCCCCTATCCACCATGGTCTCTTGACGTCTAACCTTAAGGCCATTACTGTGTTTTCCGTCTGTAGGCTTCATTCAATCAGAATATGCTTAGGTCTATATGATAAAAGCTTTGTTACGGAAGTATTTATTTATATCAAATGGCAGGCGTCTTGATGGTTATCATTAGCTCTTTAGTTATTTTCTTAATATTTTTTTGTAGCTACATAGTTAGTAAGAATGGATAGCAGCATGGAGCCACCTTTCTAAGAGATTCAGACATATTGGTCTTAACTGAAAAAATAAAAATGTGAATTTGAGTAGTAAAGAGGCTATTAATGTTTTTTGCTTTGGAAAATGCATCGTATTCCCAGTTAGCATTCCTGTAATGACTTGATTTAAGGTGAACCACTAACCACTCAGGCATTGTACACTAAAACGAATGCTGAATCATCCGTTATGTCTCCCCCCCCCC